AAATTGCTAAAGATGAGTGGATGGTCTTTCTTTGGGATGGAACTGATGCCCCACCTATCAGTATTCATAGAAAGTGAGTTGGCGTAGTTTAAATGCTCCTTACTACTTATGTTGAATCTTTGGCTGTATAGCAAGCCCAACGGTTTCAGGGACTTTGCATTCCTATATTATTTTGCTTAGCAACATTGACACATGTTTCCATGGAAGTTCTGATACATCAACTTGTAATCAAATTATATGGTTATGCCTCTGCCATATTTGGTGCTGTGACTCGTGCTGTTTCAGTGCCTGCTTTTTTTATCACTTGCAGATAATTTATCCCTTTTCTTTAAAAATTTAGGTGATGGCCTGAATTAGTTCAGTATTTAGAAAGGCTAACTGGTTCTCTCTCCCCCAAGACATGTAGTTTGACAGTTTGACTTGAAGATTGGTTTAGGCAGTGTGAATATAAGTCTGGTGGATTGGCAAATGATTGCACATTGGTGGTTATGCTCAAAACTTGCTGTTTTCTTGACTGCATTATAGGCCCCTTGGCCTCTCTTTTCCATTTGAAGAAAGTTTTGTTAGTTGCTGATCTCTCTTGTGGCTGTTAATTTTACGTACATAGAAACCTAAGGTGGTTGGATTGAAAAAAAAGACTTGACTTTTCAAGTAATTGCCATATGCATCCATATAACAAAGACATGATTGTTCCTAATATCTTAGGGTGTGTTTGCAATTGAACCTCTGTGGTAATGGTAAAGTATATGGTGATGAAGGACTAGTGAAATCTTTGTTTTCTTATATCCTTTGGGAGCTAGAGGTTTTAGGTTATTGTGTCTTTGAATTTCATGATTGGAAAGGCTCTGCTTTGTTGTTCAGAGTCTAAGTGACTTATATTTGTTAATTTCTGTCTCCAATAGAATCATATATAGACGGCATTGCCCATGCCAGGAAGTTAACGAGTGTATTTTAGCTTTAGATTAAGCTATGTATCCAATCATGGTAAAAGAGGTTGTGGGTCAGGAGTTGGTTTAAGAGTTTGATGAGCTTAAGTGCTGAAAGCTGGCAGTTGTTTTGCATGGGTACAATTTAGGTAGAAGCCCTCATGCAATGGATGTAATTAGAGTTTCAGTTAGTTCTCTTAAGACTTTTGTGTGTTTTGATAGAAGAAAATTTTAAAGCCTAAATTATTGCATAACAAAATGAAGCCAGTTGTGCTAATTTTTTATGTTATCCTATCTATCAGTAAGAAAATTAGGTTACTTGAGGTCTACATGTGGGAGATTTGGTGTTTTAGAGGCAGAAAGGGGCAGCTTTAAGGCTGTTTGGCTTGCTTGACGTTGAAGAATATTTGCTGGAGCACTTTGGCAGTTAGGACATATTGGACAGGTTTAATTGGTTGAAATTGGTCTGAAAATTTGTGGAAGAAGAAACTTGTGGGTGCTATTGTAGCCATGTAAACGGGGTCGGGTTTGGTTGTGATTTGTTTATGATGGTATAGTTTTGCGGTTATCGTGGGTGACATGTTACGGTTATAGAACTTTGATCCAAACTTGGAAACTGAAAATCAGATCCGATTGTGAAAAGAAATGTTTGTAGAGATTTAGAAGACAGTAAGAAAAGGAAAAAGACTGCAAGAGAGCAAAATGTTAGGCATCCAAGTTTGTATAACGTAATTATTCGTAATTTCGTCAAATATGAAACTTACATAATATAATAAGCATATAGATCTTTTTGGAAACTTTGAAGACTGATTCATCGTCTTCCAAAGATTTGGACTCCCAAATAGGTAACTACCTTACAACACAAATAATCTTGTCTGGTAAAAAAATAAATGATCACCTTAAACTCTTTGATGCAGGCGCATCAAGAATTCTATTTTATTTAGTATGTCACTAGCTTAGAATTTTTTTTTTTTTTTATTTAGTTTGAGATTCTTTTTCCTATCTTTATTAGAATTTTAGTACTTTAAGTCTTTATTTAGGATTATGATTACTATTTGATTAGGATTTATCTTAGCTATTATAAATAGGTGATCTTAGATATAGGTTTATTATTATCATCTTTTGTTATTTTGAATATTTATTCGATAGGTTTCTTTTAAAAACCCAATTACCTTTTTAATGTTCCAACACAATCAACCCTATTCTAGCCTTAATTGTTGAGTTCTAATTGCCCTAAACCTTTCGACTACATCAAGTGGTATCAGAGCAAACGATCTTATTATCCTATAAAGTTTTAGCTAGGAGACTATGGTTGGTCGAAGGTAGAGGCAATCAGCCCCAACAAGCTGAGTTGGCAGAGATGGAGAATGATTGATGACTTGACCCGGCTATGCAAGCCTTGCAGTGTCAGGAACAATGAAAGCTGAGTGGAGAATCCGGAGGTGACCACAATCCCCTTGAGATTAAGATCTTGAGGATGAGATGAATTTGAGAATGAGAACCCCTTTCATGAAGATGGACTGCAAATCAAGCGACAAAGTTGGATTGAGGGTCGGTTATTACATGCTCTTGATTTAAATGACGGAGGAATCAAGATCGAAGTAACTATTTTCATGGAAATTTCATGCGGAGGAATATTTGGATTGGGAAGCTAGTTTGGAAAATTACTTTGAATGGAAATCTATGGCAGAAGATCGAAAAGTGTTATTTGTAAAGTGAAATTGAAAAGGTCACACAGTGAACGTGCATAACAAGGGAAGCTTAAAATCAGCATTTGGGAGCACATGAAAAGTAAATTATAAGCAATTTTTACCTGGCAATTATACTATGAATTATACGAAAAGTTTCATTGTTTGATGCAAAATAACAAGTCTGTGAGGAGTATGCATCAGAGTTTAATAACCTATCAATTGGGTTGGGTTACTAAGAGTAACGAACAAATTACTTCTCGTTATCTTGCGGTTTGAATCATTCTATTAGAGACAAGATAGGTAGTTTCGTTTATACAACATTGAAGATGCCTCAATATGCTTTATCAGCAAAAAAATGAGTTTCGCTATGGTGCTAGAAAGCTCTTATATGACAATATGGCAAAAGATTCTGGAGAAGATGGGGTTACCAAACATCCCCACAAAATTATCGAGAACCTACCACAACCAATAAAACTAATAGGGGTGCAACCAATGTTGAAAGGACAAAAAAGCAAAGTATAATGCCTTATGGTGGAAAAAACAATTCTGGTTCTTCTACAAATAAAGGAGGAGCAATTCCCATACTCGATGTTTTACTTGTGGGAAGAAGGACATTTCTTTTCCTTGTCCAGAAAGAAGGTGAACTAGCAAAATTTAGGAAGAATTAGGACCCATTTATAATAAATATGATGAGGAAATACAGGAAATTGATGTGTATCTTGCACGAGGTGAGTCATTAGTGGTAAAGAGTGATGACAACAATAGTAATGAGGAAGCAAAAGATGGAGGCGGCGAAGTATTTTTCCACTCGATGTTTTGTGAAGGTAAATATGTGTTGTCATTGATGAGAAAGATGGAAAATATTATTTAAAAGAGAAGTGAAAAAATTAAAGTTTCTACAAGCAAACATCCTCATCCTTACAAGATTGGGTGGCTAAAGAAAAGAACGAAGTACCAATAACTACCAATTTTAATAAATTAACTATGGGAGGTAACTTGGTGATAAGGCTTTATGCATGTTGTACCAATGGATGTTGGTCATATTCTTGTTGATAGACCTTGGTTGTATGATCATAATATGGATCATAAGACAGCTAAAAACCTATTCCTTCTACAAGGACAACAAGAGGTATACGTTATATCCTCTTAAAGAAGAAGCTAAGCAATTGGCAACTTCAAGCCCCACAAGCAGCAAAATTGCTGGGTATTTATCTGTGAAAATTTTGAAGCTGAAGGTAGTAATGAAGAGAAGTTGAAACAAGTAAATTCAGACATCTATGAGAAGTATATTAAGACCTACTCATCGGAGTCAAGTTTTTTTTCTAACCCGAGGGGACTGATGCAGGCGCATCAAGAATTCTATTTTATTTAGTATTTCACTAGCTTAGGATTTTATTTTTTTTATTTTATTTAGTTAGAGATTATTTTTCCTATCTTTATTGCAATTGTAGTACTTTTAAGTCTTTATTTAGGATTAGGATTACTATTTGATTAGTATTTATTTTAACTATTATAAATAGGTGATCCTAGATATAGGATTATTATTATCATCTTTTTTCTTTTTGAATTTTATTCGAAAGGTTTCTTTTAAAAACCCCAATTATCTCTCTATGTTCCAACACAATCAATCCTATTCTAGCCCTAATTGTTGAGTTCTAATTGCCCTAAACCTTTCAACTACATCACTCTTATAGCCTATTTGGCCTTGTTGAAGTTTTTGTAGGAAGTATTGTTTGAGTAGAGCTGTTCGATTAGTGCTGTAAAGAGAAGCTAGCATAGTGTTTGCCAAACTAAATGTAGAAGCACTGTAGGATGTAGAAAGCTGTTTTACTTTGTATTTTGTCAAAATGTTGTCAAATGCTGAATTTACAAAAAGAGGCATTTGAGGGAAGATTTTTTTAGAAGTGATTCTTAAGTACTTTTATACGTAAATTATTTAGCATGTTGAGCAAAATATCCCATCTATTCTTCCAAACACCCATAGAGCACTTAATTACATTTCTAGGAGAGTAAAAACTAAGTTGTGAACTAGGCAGAAACGATAAACTGCACTAGGCAACCACTTTAAATAAAGATAAATTGATTCCCAACAAATTGTGAATTAATTGTTTTAGGTGTGCAAGGTGTGTTGGACTTGTTTGGCCGAATGTGAATTCTCATTGACTATTAGGTATTAGTAATTTTATATCGCAACTTTTCACTTTGAGGTATCACTTATGTTGGCAACTTGGGGTGGTTGATTATTCAAATTAAAAACTATTTGCTTTTGGGTTCATTTTTATAATTGAATTGATGCTTTTTGTTTCATGACTATACTTATTTTCTTCCAACAAATTTATCCATGAGTGACCATAGTCACTTTTTTTTCCCTCTTAGAAACATTTAAGGTTAAACACAAAAAATAAAAGCAAATCAAATAATTAAGAAAAATATAAATCTTTATGCCTGTAGCTTTGAGATTGACAAAGAGCACAACATAATTGACTCCTACATAATGGGGTAATTTTATTTGTAATTCTATTAAGCATGAAGGATAGTGGAAGTTTGAAAATATTAATAAGCCCTCTAGTTGCTACCTTGAAAAAAGCTTCATGATGTAGGTGCATCTAGAATTTGATTTTATTTAATTTAATATTCCTAATTCTAGTTGGTTAAGGATTTTATTTCTTTTATTCTATTTAGTTTGTGATTCTTTTCCTATCTTTATTATGACTTTTGTATATTAAGATATTATTTATTAGGATTAAGATTACTATTCAATATATGATTAGAATTTATGCTAACTAGTATAAATAGGTGATCCTTAATAGAGAACCTATTATTATTATTATTATTATTTGTTTATTTTGAATTTTTATTCAAGTGGTTCCTTTAAAACCCAATAATCTTTCTAGTGTTCCAAACATAATCAACCTCATTCAAGCCCGAATTGTTGTGTTCTAATTGTCTTAAATGTTTTTGCTACACCAAGTGGTATCAAAGCAAATGATATATCTTACAAAGATTTTTAGCTAGGAGGCTATGGTTGGTCAAGGTAGAGGTTGAGGTAGAGGCAACTTATCCCAACAAATTGAGTTGGTTGAGATGCAAAAAATGATTGATGACTTGATTTGGCCTGCGTAAGCTTTGCAATGTTAGGAACCCAGTGGGGGCTCGAATGGAGAATCCGAAAGGTGACCACAACCCTCTTGAGATTCAAGATCTTGAGGATGATAAATTTGAGAACGAGAACCTTTTATAAAGATAGGCTCGCAAATCAAATGGCAAGAGTTGGATTAGAGGACCGGTTAATACATGCCTTGATTTAGATGGTGTAGTCGAGATTCAAGTAGTTGATTTTCATGAGAAGTTACATGCGGAGGATTATTTGGATTGGGAAGCCAGTTTGAAAAATTACTTTGATGGAAACCATGTCAAAAATAAAAGTGTTATTTGTAAAGCTGAAATTAGAGGGTACTGCACTTTAATGGTGGAAGAGAGTTGAAGAGTAATGTGCACAACAAGGGAAGCTTAAAGTCAGCACTTGGAAGCGTATGAAAAGCAATTTTTACCTGTTGATTATACAATGGAATTATATGAAAGATTTTATTGTTTGAAGCAAAATAACATGACTGTTAAGGAGTATACATCGAAATTCAATAACATATCAATTTGAGTTGGGTTAATTAAGTGTAAAAAAAAATACTTCTCATCATCTTGCTAGGAGATGGGCGTAGTTTGTTTGTACAACATTGAAGATGCTTATCAATATGTTTTAATAGCAATTAAAAAGCCCTTATATGGCACTAATTGTACAACATTTAATATCACTATGGTGCTAAAAAGCCCTTATATGGCACTAATTGGCAAAGCAATTCTGGAGCAAGACAAGGTTATCAAACATCTCAACAAAATTGTCGAGGTGTTGCCACAACCAATAAAACTAATGGGCATGCAACTAATGTTGAAAAAAATGATAAAGGCAAGAGTATAATGTTTTATGGTAGACAAAACAGTTATGGTTCTTCCACAAATAAAGCAACAATTTTCAGATCCAGTGTTTTACTTATAAACAGAAAGGACACATTTTTTTTTGGTTGCCCATAACGAAGGGTAGCGGATTTAAGAGAAGAGTTAAAGCTAGTTTATAATGAGGAGATAGAGGAAATTGATGTTTATTCTGCACAAAGTGAGTCCTTGATGATACGAAGAGTGATGACAACAACAATCAATGAGGAAGAGGAAGATTGGAGGAGATAGTATTTTTTGCACACGTTGTTTGTGAAGGTAAAGTGTAATCTTATCATTGATGGAGAAAGCATGAAAAATATTATTTCAAAAGAGGCGGTAGACTAATTGAAGCTTCTTACAAGCAAACATCCTCATCTTTACAACATTGGATGGCTAAAGAAAAGACACAAGGTATCGGTAATTATTCAATGTTTGGTGAAATTCACTATGAGAGATAACTTATATGATGAGACTTTAAGTGATGTTGGTCATATTCTTGTCGATAGACCTTGGTTGTATGATCACAATACCTGCCAACATCTAAAATGTCATTTGAGTTACAAATCAGTCCTATTTTCAATATTTTGGATTGGGATGAATTTGATGGGACTGCTTTTATTATAGACGCTCATGTTTAGCACTTTTTAACTGCTTAGGTTGAAGTTATTGAAAAAGTGTTAAATGTGAAAGACATTCGATTTAGATGAGTGAACTATATGAACGATTTTTGGTGAAGTGACTTGATAGACCTGCTAATGAAAGCAATTGAATTGTTGAAAAGGAATTGAAAGGTTCAAAGTGTTAGATTTGAAGCTGAAAGGTTTCAATTCCTCTTTTGCAATCCCAATGCTTTTATTAGCAGGTTTACTAAGCCAATTCACCAAAAATCCTCTATACGGATTCCTTCGTCTAGATCAAACTTCTTTCACATTTAACACTCTTTCAATAACTTCAGCCTTAGCAACTGGAAGGTGTAGAACTTGAGCATCTATAGTAGATGCAATCTCATCAAATCCATCAAATGGATACAAGTTGGAAACATTGAAAATATGATTGATTTGAAACTCAGGTGTCATTCTATATGCTGGTGGGTTTGATAACGATGCTCCTAGGACCAAATCAATTGCATGTTGGATGCTCCCCAGAGGTGGTGGACTTTTCAGCAAATTCTCATTAACCAACTCTCTAAATTCTTTCAATAGCTATCGAATTTTAGTTGGACATGAGGCGATTTACCCATATGATCGCTCTTTGCAAACTTAGTTACCAAAGCATACATAATTCCCAGCTCACTACTTTTTGCTTCAAAATATTTAAGGGATAAACACCTAGTGATTTTGCTACTCGTAGGCTTGAAGTTGCAATTGCTTAGCCTTTTCTTTAAAGGATAGATAGTATACCTCTTGTTGTACTTATAAAAGGAATAGGTATTTGGTTGTCTTATGATTCATATCGTGATGATACAATTATGGTCTACCAATAGGAATATGATTAACATCCATTAGCACAACATGACACAAAGCCTCATTATCCAAGTTACCTCACATAGTGAATTTCACCAAATATTGAGTAATTTGTCAATTACTTTTTTTGAAATAATAGTTTTCATGCTTCCTTCATCAATGACAAGATCACATACTTTACCTTTACAAACAACCCGTGTAAAAAATACTTCGCCTCCATCAATCTTATGCTTCTTCATTGATGATTATTGTCATTACTCTTAGTACTATCAAGAACTCACATTGTGCAAAATGAACATTAATTTCTTCTATCTCTTCATCATATACATCATAAACTAATTTTAACTTTTCTCCTAATTCCATTAAATTCACCCTTCGTTGTGGGCAAGTAAAAGAAGTGCATCTTTTCTCCCTACAAGTAAAACATTGAATCTGAGAATTGCTACCTCTTTTATTTGTGGAAGCACCAACCTTACCTCAATCTTTGTCTCAACCAACTATAGTCTCTTAGCTAAAAATTCTTGTATGATGGTAAAATCATTGTTTTTACACCACCTAGTGTAACAGAAACATTTAAGGCAATTAGAACTCAATAATTAGGGCTTAAATGGGGTTGATTGTGTTTGCAAACAATGAAAGGATAATTAGGTTTTAAAGAAACCACTTGAATAAAACTTCAAAATAAACAAAAATAATGATAAGTCCTCTAAGATTACCTATTTATACTAGTTAGGATAAATCTTAATCAAATATTGAATAGTAATCCTAATTCGAATTAATAAAGACTTAATGTAATTCGAATTAATAAAGATGGGAAAAGAACCCCAAACTAAATAGAATAAAGAAAATAAAATCCAAAACCAACTAAAATTAGGAAAACTAAATTAAATAAAATAAAATTCTAAAGGCGCCTACATCACGTCAACTTTTAACTGTTCTCAAAATCCCAAATTAACTTCCCGATAAACCAAAAAGTTTAAAAGGTTGATTGCCAAAAACCAAACTTCAGCTTTTAGAGTAGAAAAGCTCTTTCAGAAGATGAGTTGGAGACCCACTTAGGGAGATTGATATTGAAATTTTGGTAACTTCTAGAACCTTAGGCCTTGCTCCATTAGAAAGATAGAAAGGAGTAAGGATGGAAAATTTTGTAATCTAATGGTTAGGTTTCATATCCACTTAGTAGGTTAACTATTGGACTAAAAGTTTTTCCACCTTTACCTCTTCCTATCCTTCCTACCAAGAAAGCCTTAGAGTTGCTACATTACCAAAACTATAGCCAAAGTACAGAATTGTCCCTACACTTGATATTTTTCCTAATTTGCTAAAATTAAGTAGCAAAAAGCAAGCTAACTTTCCTTCCATTGCTGTGCTACTATGCGTTTATGTAGCATGTATTGAGACCTCAAATAGTTACCATTATGTTGCTATACTTGGCAAATGATTTTTCTATTAACCAATGTTTTTTTTTTTCTTTCAATTTGTATTCAAATGGTGAAAAATTGAAAATAGTCATTAGTATTTGTGCATAGTTAGGTATCGGGGCTGAATAAGCTAGCCGTTATCTGTTTTTATTATTATTGTTACCACTTTGGACTGCTTTGAAGGGAGTGCATCTGCATGCCTTGCCACCTTTGTGGCATAATGTCTTCTTAGAATTAAAACTTGGTCTGTCAACAGTTTTTAACTTCATTAATGACTCATGCCTAAATGAATGGGCTTTAGTTTTGCAAATACAAGATTGATGTTAGCTGTGTCTGGTTGATTCTTTTTTTATAATTCATATAAATGACTGTACTCCACAGGCTGGAAGATGAAATGCATAACCAGCTGCCTTTACATTTGGAACCGTTGCCTTTATCAAGAGATGTGCTATGTACATTTCCTACCGTTGGAACTATCTTAAGGGTGACCATTGATGAAAACTGCAGAAAGTATATTCTTCAGTTGCTGAAAATTGGTCAATGGGTGAAACTTTTTAATGTGCCATGCAAAGCGCGTGAAGGATTATGGTATGGTGTGTTGACACCATCTACAAAAATCCAAGATATGCCAAATGAGGATATGCTCATATCTGAGCATCAGAGGTGATTTTTTTAGTTTCATGTAACACCTTGTAAAGAAATAGATTTTATTCACTTGTGACTGTTGTTTGTTTTGGAAGTTCAATATCTCACTCATTTTATATATTTCTTTCAGCAATTATGATCACCGATTATCATGCAAACTGGAGCGGATGCCATACTGGAGCTTTCCATGGCCGTCAAGAATCACAGGTTTCATGTTGTTAGTGAATCTATAAGTTGTTTTAAGTTTTGATTTATTGGCATGTTTGATTCAATCTCCTGGACACAGTTATCTCATTTTTCCTTGAACCACAACGGCAATGATGACTGATAGATTAGCTTTTATTTTTGTACGTCCTTCCTCAGAGGTTAACTGCGATGATGTGCCATTTGCTACATTGATGGATATTCTCACTTGTCGAAAGGTATCACACCCTTGAGCATCTTTTGACCATACGGAGATGGGTATTTTGTTAAAAGAAGTAGAATGTACCAAATGACCTGGTAACTATATGGAAATCAAAACAATTATGTTCATTGTTTAACTTATTAGGTTGGTGATGGCTTACTATTTGATTGAAGATTCTTCTTTCTTTTCTTCCCTCCATCTTTGAAAATGAGGTACTTTTATATTTTGGGCGTTTATATTTATGATTCTGTTTAGTATTTTCAAACCCTACATCTAAATATTTGGATGTCAACCAATTCCTTAGAAGAACCTTTAATATCTTTCAATATTGTCATTTCTTTAGAAAGCAATAGAGTAATTACCAAACCCTCTTGAAAACACCCAGAAATAGTTGCCCCTGGATCCAACCCAAGCCAATTTCATATTTTACTTTTGCATGGGACCCATTTCGACCAGCTGGAAAATGCCAAAGGGACCACATAATGCCCAAAATACCCTCAGACACCTTTGAAACCCTTTTGAATCATCCACAACCTCTTTTCTTCACTCACACACGACCTACATTATGGGTCTTTCAAGATTTGTAGGGGGGCTTGAGTTTGTTCTGAATTAGTTGATATTTGAAACTTTTGGCTGCAATAATTGGTTTTGGTTTGGTGAGTGTACGGATTTTTGGGTGTATGCAGTTTTTGCAGTTTAATGCCTGTAGTAGGTGGCAGTTGATTCCAACTGGCAGTGGGTGGCAGGATGGTCTGAGTGGTTTGAGCCCTGTTGTATACTGTCTTTGTGATGGCAGAGATAGTTTTCTTCTTTGTTGTTTGCAATTGTATATAATTTTCCTTTTTCTTTCTTCTTTCTATATTTTTTTATTAAAAAAAAATAATTCTGACCCATTCTTTTGGGTACTATCCTCTACTTTTGTCTTGATGTCTTGGTATATATAGGAAGCTGATTGGTGAATCTGCGGTCTGATTGGTTGCTATACCTAATAGAGTCTGCTAAGCACCATCTTAAGTAGAGAGGACTGAGCTCTAGATGGTTTTACCTTTTTTTATCTTTTTTGTAGAAGGGGAAGTGGAAGAAGGCACCTGTCATGACAGAGTTGTGGCAAGGCCTTGAAAACTTGAGCAGGGATCCATATCCTCCCCTGCTCCATTGGTCTTTATGTATATAAAGTAGCCGATGGTCTCAGGAAGGAAGTGTTGAATTGGGTCAAAAGTGGGGTAGATTTAGCATGTTTCCAGAAAGGGGATGGTTATATTTAAACATGAAAGCTATGGAAGCATAAATCCTGAGAATATTGTTTAACATTTTGCTTGGTAACCTTACAGGTAAGAAAGAAATTTAGGTGTGTAGTACGGTTTGTAGCGGCAATTCCATGGCGAGTTGAGGATTTCTGCTCTCCCCGTGGAACTTATAGGGTTAGGTTCACTGTAGAAGATCCAACTGCCAGAATTCATGCTTTTGCTTATGCTGAAGATGGGGTAAGGACATGATTCTACCATTCCTCCACATTTATATATATGCAAAATCAAATCCTGATTGCAAATTTCAATAACAGTCTTCATCCTATAGTTGACTCCTACTCCCCAAATGTAAATCCAAATGAAAATTGAAGAATAGAAAGAGAAGAGTTTCAAAAACACTCCCTTTTACCCAAAGCAGCTAGATTCCTTCTTATGTTCAGTCTCCGATGCCAATACCCAGAAGAAAGTTTTCCTTCTAAGCTTGAGCTACAAGGTTCTTCCCTTGTAAATTGCGCCATGACCAATACCTGCATGATATGATTTTCTTTAACAAGTGTCTCAAGCACAAATTAGCCTTAGTAGCAGGAAAAAGACATTTTCAGAAGCCTATTCTGGAAATCCTCCTATTGTTTTCTTCTGCTCAACATATGCTTAGAAACTTCAAGTGTGGTGCGTCAGCTGATTTTAATTTTGTAAAAGTATCATCTGTCTTGTGAAATTAAAGTTGACTAATGCATTTCTCAAGGCTCTTCTATATTATTGGATTCCTTTTTAACCGCATTTCTTCATCTGTGATAGGAGAAATTTTTCGATGGTTATTTGTCGGCGGATGTATTGAGTAGCAAGTTAAATAAATTGCTTGGAGTAGCTATAAGTGTTGATGGCAAGGAAATTAAGGATGCTGCTAGAAATCCACCATGGGTGCAGTGTTGCTTGATATCTCATTACCTCAAGTGCTGTAAGATCTGTGACACCAAGCTTGTTGGTCAACAAGTTTGACTGCAATGGATTGTATTCGGAGAAATTTTTAAGTGGCATTTGGTATTTTACAATGCAATGTAATTACAGGTAATGTGATTGTAAGTAATGTGATTGTAGGAAAAATAACATTACAGTGTTTGATATGTAAACAAAATAATGATTAAAATGCAGAAAAAATAACATTGTAGCGTTTGGTTTGCAATTACTTTGCTGTGAATGTAATGTTAATTTTCAAAATTACTCTTAATCATTAAAATATAAGTTTAATATATTTATATTTTTTATTATTAATTTTTATATAATATCATCTCTTCAATATATTTTTAATGTCACATATTTATTTTTATTTATTATTATAATTTTATATATTTTATTTTTATTTTTTTAATATATTTTTTATATTATATATTTTATTTTAATTTGTTTTATCTATATTATATAAATTTTAATTTTTTATATTTTATTTTAATTTTTGATTCTTATATCATATATTTTATTTTAATATTTTTTATTTTAATTATAACAGTGTGAAATATTTTTAATAAAGTAATAAAGTTGAAGGGTAAAATTATTTTTAAGAACATTGCACAATGTAATGTAATGTGATTGCATTGCAATCTTACATTGCAGTGGTTTATTACAAAACAAACACTGCAATATAATTTAATTGAACACATTGTAAAAAATGTGCTCTTACTCTCCTGTTATCAAACGCATTGGTCTTTCTTACTTTCTTGTTATCAAACGTCATTTTACTGATAAATTTAAAAAAAAAAATAAGCATTGGTCTTTCTATCCTTGGTTTCCGCCCTTTATACTAATAAAATACTAGAAGTGCCTAATATTTGGCATGCAATATTGAATTTTAAAACACATATTCCTCTTAATTAAAGGTTTCTCCATTAATGGTGTCACGTGTTGTTAAGAGTTTTGATTTCCCCTCATATCAAGATTTTGTAATAACTCCCAATTTGTGACATTTCAAAATAAATTTCATTAATTGTAATAACTTTGATAGTGGAAGGAATCATGATGTTATATTTCGAAATAAATCTCATCGAATTGAACTCATCTCAACTTATGGCATCAAAACAAGTCACGTTAAGATTATGTAATAACTCTCATCCGTGTGTTGCTATTAAAGAGTTATATTGTTTGATTTATATAAATCTTACCAAACTAATTATGGCACAGAGCTGTTTCGACTTGAAAAAATTTTCTCTTATGGTACAATCAAATCAATGTAGGGAGCTCTCCACAACCAAGCCAAAGAAGCCGACCCACCTGTACATGGTATGTATTCCTATGGAAATTAACTTTTCAGATGACAGCACAAAAAACCACATGTGCCCTGAATACCATTAGTGGGGTGCAGGTACATCATGCTCATTAGGCAGGGCCACCTCCCCAGCAGCATGTCTGCGTTGCCGCTCCCGAAGGTATAAAACAGTGAGTAGACACACAAACAGAGTCAAAATTGTAGCATTTCCTTCCTCCATTATCACATTCTCCACCCACTCTTCCACTCTTGGATAGACTTCAGGCAGGGAATCGATTATGTAGACCTAATAATAAAAAACACAAAGCAATGAGTAACTCTTTTAAGATCATTTTTGACGCCATCAGTATTGAAACTCATTGCTGGATGTAACAGCAAAAGACTAGCTAAAAACGAGAAAATCCCCTCTAAACCTGTGTTTGTTTGTTTAATTTTTCCTTTTCTTATTTAAGTTCCAATCTATCATAAAACATTTCTATGCATGATTTTCAAGAAAAACAGAATAACTTGGTTTTCTTCCCCGTACCAACCTAATGAGAATGAAAAAAAATGCTAAAAACCAATGGAACATAAGTAAACAAAGTTGTTGAGGCTATATTCTCTCCGTAAGATGTAAAAATAATTTTGAAGTCCATGTATGTTCAGGCAAGTCCCAACAGAAATGTCTGATCACTGTCCCAAACAGCATATCAAAGAGCTATCAACCTAACTTGCATGAAAGGATATTATGTTCGTTATCAATATGTATTGACTACCAAGCGGCATTCACAGGGGTTGAAGAAGTTAAGCTCAGTACCTAGTTCTGGTTTTAAAGTTAAATAAAAACTTTTGCATTTCTAGGTAATGGAATGCAAAACAAGGTGAGCACCTCAATTAATGGGGAAATGTCAAACTATAAATTCCAACTTGTGTGCGATTGCAAGCATTTTGACCAAGTGAAAGGAACATAATCGTGATTAAAGATTGAACAGAATTTTGTCTGATCTTCGGACATTGTTCAAAAGGTAGAGGGAGCATATGCCACAAAGAGCAACTCACCAGGAGACTATCAGCATAATTCTTTCGAATCCACAAACTTGTTAAAGCGAGCATGACGGGCAACTTTGCTGCAGGATCTATCTCTAGCGCTTGATCATAGTAACGCTTGGCAAGATGGAGGTCAAACGGAAGTCCTTGGCCGTGCTCATGCATGTATCCAAGGTTGAACATGGCTTGTGCATTAGATTGGGATTTCGCATGTATGTAAGCTTCTGCTGCACGCTCATAATCCCTCACAGTTCCCTAAAAGAGAAAAGATATAGTTATGGGAAACTTCAGCAGAGCAATAACAAAGCAATACTCAAGAAAACCAGATAATGTCTTCTCTATTTAGACTACAGATACATACTCGACCATAGTAATATGCATCCCCAATAAGCAATGCAGCATGTTCGTTACCCTGCTCAGAAGCTTGCCACCACAACGAATGAGCACGTTGATGCCTTTCTCCATCAGTGCAAAGCCCAGATTCACCCATGCACATGCTGCGCTCACCATACTTGTCAAGGATCCATGCAGCATTACTTTGTGCTATCTCATAGCCTAGCTCAGCCATCCTAGAATACAGGAGGAATGCCTTGCCCACATCACCTTTTAGATATGATTCAAGTGCCCATCTAGACAGGGAACTCCATGGTCCCCGTTCAGCAACTAGTTTGTATAATGCAGTAGCCTGAAAAAAGAATAAGAAAAAGCTCAAATTCAAGTACATGGGATCTTATGTACATTAGAACCATTCATGATTCAAAAGGATTCATGTCACAATTCAGGCATTAAATATAGAAAAGGTTAGTTACATTTATTGTGACTTCTTTCAACTGATTATAACTTACGTCACATTTTTTTACAACTCTCAGAAATTTGTTTTCCTTTTCGTTTTAGGCCTGTCAAAAAGAAAAGCATGGCTAGAAGTGAGGAAAGCAGTCCCGTTTTCCATCAAGTTGTCAGGTCAAGAAATTAGATATTATCATCACAACCAGAATACCAGTCATGGACAGCAGCCAATCTAGCTGATGGCATGTAAAATAACATTAAACTATTCTAGGACAATCTCTAGCATTCAAATCATTTCTTTTGCTATGTATGGTACTTCTTGGCATAATAGGAAGCCACATATTTACCAGTTAAAACCAAGTTATTTTAAGAGAAAATTGAACAAAATTTCTCATTTAGGTCCAAAATCAAGCAAATACTAAGTACTCAAAGTGCCCTGATAAGTCAAACCTATCTTTTGCTTATAATAGAAAGATAAACGAGAATATTGAAATACTGCAGCATGCTTTATTTGTTAACCCTCAACCCCAATAGAAATTAGGACAAGGGTGAAAATTAGAACATGGAAGAAATATGTAACCAGCAACTTAACAAGGTGAAAAATATGACAAAAGGGAAATTCCTCCAGCACTCAGCAAGAAACCTTTAAGTTAAGCACAAGGGAGTTTAAGAATGTCATTCATAAAGATATAGGACTCATTAGAAGGTGAAAATTAGAAAACAGGAACTATAAGCATAAACAACAGTATTTACCATAGGAAGATTCTTTTTAAGCCCAACACCAGTATGAAACATCTTAGCCAACTGATAAAACGCCTTTGGTTGGCCTGCATTAGCTGCCACAATAAAACATTTACAAGCAATCTTCACATCTTTCTTCACTCCAATCCCTTTAAGGTACATTACCCCTAAGTTATAGTGCCCGCCAGCATCGTCATTATCAGCGGCCCTCTCAAAGTACTCTTTTGCCTGCACAAGAAAGGAATCAGTTTCTGGCACAACTCTACAATTAACATACCAATAATAAACCACATGTTATCAGTTTTTTTTTCTCAAGTGGTCTGGAGTCTGGAAATTCTTTTCTTTCTTGTTTTTTTCAAAAGAAAAAAATCCATTTAATTCACAGATAGTATTACTGCTCCCAGATTCAAAACTATGTAAACCCCATCTGTGAATAATTATCTCCAATGTTAGTTATAAAAGCTACAAAATCTGAAGCATGCACCATCTTTTAACTGATTCATCACAATAACTCCAGATTAGCAGATGATGAAAGCACAGCTTGAAAAATGGAATTCAGGATCAGTGTTCACCATAAGTTCCAATCTTCAAAACAATCCATAAAGAGAAAAACTATAAAACACAGCCAGCATTGAGTAGGAAGATAATTCACAGTGAAGTGAAACTTTCAAGCTATGTGAAGATTACTGTTGAAACAAAAGACAAGAACCTGTAGTTTGTAAGTTATATGAAGCCACCAAAAGACATAGAAACACTAGACAAGTGATAACAAGACAGAAATAGTAATCAAGAAGTTTATGCAGTCAGCAGAAAATGAACATACTTTGGTGTAGTTCTTCTTTTCCACCCCATAGCCTTTAACATATAAATAACCCATCCCATTATAGGCTGAAAAAAGCCCCTGTTTCGACGCAAGTGAGAGCCATTCAAGAGCCTTGGTGTAATTCCTTTCAACCCCAGCTCCTCTAGCATAAATCTCACCAAGAAGTTCCATAGACCTGGGCTCCCCTTTGTCCACAGCTTTCAGAAACCACATCAAAGCCTTGGCATGATCACGGCGCAACCCTCTCAATCCGAAATAGTAAAAAAGACCCATTTTGTACATAGCACCAGCATTCCCTTTCTGTGCTTGATATTCCAATATCTGAAAATCCTCATCGTCTTCCCCTCTTGACTTCTTTAAAGCTTCCTTATTCTCCTCTGCCCCATTGTGTATCCTAACCGGTTCGATCACCGGTGAATCTTTAGATATCAAAAAACTGTTTACTGCTATTTCGGCTAATTCAGCATATAATTTAACCGCTTTTTCATACATCTGAAAATTTAGAAAATACAAACTACTCAGGTAAATTAAAATCAAACACAAAAGGCGATTCGAAATTTCTTAAAAATAAACACAAAGCTTACGTCTTGTCGCGAGTAAGTATAAGCCAAAGCCATCATGGATTGGGCATTGCCACCTTCCGCAGCGAAATAATGATTTAAAAAGGCTTTAGCTCTGTTTCTTTCACGCATCATCCCCATCCCGTACAAAAACCCTAGCACCGACCGCGCGTGTGGATCACCTTCCATATTTGCTGCCGTCTCAATCTCCGCCGCCGCTTCCTCCATCATCCTGGCGTCTCCATTGGTCGAAGCGGATATCATTTTGTCAACGGCGGCGTAGTAGGAACCGAGCGTGCCATAGTTAGAGGTGGAGGTGGGGGTGGTAGAGGGTTCAAAGAGCCGGCGCCATGATCCAGGATCAAGCTCCTCGTCTGGCTTAACGTGGGCGCCGCCGAAGTCGTCGTCGTCCCAGGAAGCATCGGAATCGGGGGAGGAAGAGTCGTCGTGCTGGGCGTCTTTGAGGTCGTCCTGGGAGAGGACGAGAACGAACTGGCGGGCGTGGAGGGAAAGAGGGTAAAGAGAGAAAAGGATGAGGAAGAGTGAAAGTCGCAGTGAGTATAGATGGCACCTTGGATGCATATTTCCTTTCTTTAGATGCAGCTGCTGCCTGTCTCTATAACTGTGAGGATTTGTTTCGAATGGAAGCGACTTTCTTCTTCTTCGGGGAAGCAAAGCCCGCAGAGACAGACGGCTGCTTTGGTTTTGCCACGTTCACTTTCGTCCTTCACCCAATTGCTTTTTGACACGTCATCATGTGTCATCACTCGGCGTCCGGCTAAGTAATTCAACCTAAAAATAGAAAATAAAAATACTTGTTTGGGTAAAAATGTAAATACATTTGCTTATATGGTTTAAGTAAATATTTTTTGTAATTTGTAAAAATATTTTTATATATATGTATTTTTTTTTTTGCCTTTTGCAATGCAACCATATCTTAATTTTGATGTAACGCAATCAATTTTTGTTAATAATAATAGTTTTAATTATTTTTTTCACCCTCGGAAATTTCTTTTAAAAAAAGTGTGACCACAAGTATTATAAATTGATTTTTATTTTGAAATAACAAAAATAAATTATGAAAATTAATCTAATAAATTTTATTATAAATTTATCAAATAAATAATTTCTTGTAAGTGTAAGAAGCGTTAAAAAATCTTAAAATACTTAATGAAATTCAATTCATGTATTTGTTAAGTATTTAAAGTCACATTAAAATAAAAAAAATACAAATTAAGAGGATTTTTAATATCAAAATTACAAGCACCATCCAAAGTATATCAAATTAATTTTACACTTGCTAATATAAAATGAAATGTATATCAATTACACTAGTAAAAGAGTTGACGATGTAAATCATTTAATTTACAAATAAAGTATTTTCAGTATATTTAATTTTATTTTGTTCTTAGACTTATCATAATTAACAAAATATGATTATATTAATGTTGATATATATAAAGATAAACAAAAAATTAGATCTTTCCAAAAATTAAAAATTACTCAATACTTAAATAAAAATTTTGCTAAGACATGAGAAAATCTTTTATTACTATTATTTATAGTATTTTTAACTCTTTTTTATTGTATTTTTTGTTATTATTTATAACCAAGATGGTGTCTATAATCTTACTACGGAATAGACCACAGGAAATATAGATTATGTTATAGTAGACTTTAATTTAGTATTTTCCAAAACGTTTGTAGGGAAAGCTATATTGTATTAATCAACTACATAAATGTATGATTTTTGTAAATAAAGAAAAAATAAACTAGTATTAATTAAAGATAATTATTTACTTTGGTTTCAATTATTAAAAGTTACTCCTAAATATATAATTTTAAAACAGTACTTACTCAAAGAAGATAATAATCTTGTTAAACATCTAGTAATTTTTTTCTATTAAAAATATATTTTTGAAACAAAATGAAAAATATTTGTGATTTGGAGGTTTTCCTTTTTGTTAGATGATATATATCAACTTTCTATAAGTAGGACTTGTACTTAGCTAAATATTAGAATTAATTTAGACTTTTGGAGTAAATTTTATTTCATTTTAGTAATTTGTTCCTTTTGTTGCTTGGATAAAACTTAACTTGTTACAATTTTAGTAATTAGTAACAAATAACTAATGTGTTGCACTTCTATTTGAATTGGTTTCTGAATTTCAATTCAATCTTGATCTTTTTTAGACTTAATCTAGAAGGAGGATTAGTGTAAACATATATATGATCTTTCATATATATCTCTTTATATATATATATATATATATTCTCAATTTTCATATTTTTATTTATTTTTCAAAATTTACTACACCCGGACAAATTGGGATATCTACAAATTTAAAATAGTTACTAATTTTTAGTAGCATCCATCTTTCATATGTAAAATGAATGGGTAAAGATTGTAAAATTCAATTAATTTGTTTATTCAATGATGATTGTGTGCTATGCATATTGAGAAATAAGAAGACTTTCTTAACTTTTTAATTTTGTTCAATAAGTTCGATGGATATTTATTATAATTTAAACATTCATGTATAAAAAATATGTCTAAATACTATAAGTTTAGATTTATACAGAATAAGAGGATATAGATAAAACATAATATTAAATTACAATTGATAAATATTGAATGAATCTATCCTCTAAGTATTAAAAATTAAAAATTATTATTTTCAAGTATTTTTTATTGAAATAAATAAAATTAGAAAAAGACCATTTAAATGTCAAAAACAATATAGTTTTGACATAAAGTGTATAAAAAAATTTAACCAATTATTTCAATCAGTTATTCTACTTAAAAGAGTATTTATCCAAAGAAAATAATTATCATATCAAAGATTGTTAGATGGATAATAAAATATTAAGAAATGAGAGAGTATATAACATATACTATTGTAGATTAAAATAAACAATTATAGAATATAAGATAACAATATAATGTAAAGATTTTATTAATATAAAATAGTTATTAATTTTTAATAGTATTTGTTTATTATATATAAAATAAATGGCCAAAGGTCAATAAATGCAGTTGATTTGTTTATTAAATGATGAGTGCTATGTATATTGAGAAATGAGTGAATCTTTTTGATTTTTTTTATTTTATTCAATGAATTAGATTGATATTTATTAAAATTTATACATTATATATAAATAGTATAGTTTCAAATTTCATGCTAATAAGAAAATCCTAAATAAAATAATATTAAGATTATATATTGATAAATATTAAATGATCTAAGTATGTAAGAAGTTAAACATTATTATTTTTAAATATTTTTATTGAAATAAATAAATATAAAATGACCCCTTTTTATTTGTTAAATAATGTAATTTGTTACATCAGAAATATAAAAAAATTAATTCATTGGAAAATAATAAGAGTTGAGATCAATTAGCCCCGCGGACTAATCCGCAGCCCACGGCTGCCCACCGGCTGGCCGACCGCGCCGACCCTCCATAGCCCCCCTGACGCCCTCCTGTCGCGGATCACGCCCTCGCCAACTTATATTATCCTCGGCCGCGTCGCGCCCCCTCGTGCCTGCCCGGCCGCGCCCGGTCCCGCGGCCCCCGTGCCGCGCCTCGGCGTGCGAGTCGCCCCACGGTCCGGGCCCCCGGTTGGGTTGCGCGCCCCCTCGCGCCCCGCCCCCCCGCGGCCCGCATGCCCTGGCGGCCCCCGGCGCCCGCACTGGATCCCTCTTTCGGTGCCCCCGTCCGCCGCGCCTGTGGCTGCCGTCGTAGCTAGGCCCGCGCCGGCCCGGGCCGGCCCGCCGCCCCCGCGCCGCCTGCGGCGCCCGCGCCGCTCGGCCCGGTCTCCCGTGCCGCCTCCGGTCCCCGCACGCCCGCGCCAGCGTCCCCCCCGCGCCGCAGTGCGCCCCGTATACGCCGGCGGTCGCTCCGAGCGCAGCCGGTCCCCGCGGCGTAGCCGCGCTCGCGCCCCCTCCGCGCCCCGGTCCCGGGGCCGCCGCGACGACCCCGTCGGTGGCCACGCCGCGCTTGGTGCCCGCGTCCGGTCGCGCGGGCATCTCCGGCCGCGCGGGCCGCTGCCGGCCCGCCGGCACGCTCCCTGCTCCGAGATCTGGCGTTGTCCGAGTCGCCCCCGGCGCCAGCCCTCGCCTGCCGGGCCCGGCGCGGTCGGCCCTGGCCGCTACTTCATCTATATTATAGATATTTTTTTAATTTAAAATTATATTTACGGTAAACATTTCAAAAGAAGTCACTCTGGTATGGTAAGGTATAATATGGAGGATTGGACCGGAATCGGAGCTGGCTCTAACCACCTGGAAAAAATTTAAAGCTGGAAGCTTTCAAGGTGCAAATCCGAGAGCAGTAGTGGGTGAGCTGAAGTGCAGGCCGTAGAGATAGAGGCGATGTCAACAAGAATAGAGCTCAAGCTCTCCCGACCCAACCGCATCTATCGCCCCTCCGTGCGCTCTCTCTTTCTCGACCTTCTCCAATAATCAAATAAAAATGGGGTTTTACGATGGATTTTTCTTTTAAATGTTTTTATTTCTCTTATAGGAGCCTCTTCAAGGCAAAATCGTGGTGAAGTCTGCTTCTTCCATTTCTCACTATGGAATTCGCATGGCTCAACGGATCAGTCAACCTCCAGGTTCCATTTCTTTAACCACTTGTTTGTTCATGGAGCAAAACACAAAAATGCAGCCACAATTTTAAGTAACTAATATTGTTTTTTTTTCCTCTTCTTGGTTTGAAGGTTCGAGGAGGATCGGCAGGCGTAATCGAGTCCTTTTACGGTGTTGTCAAGCCGATTACCATCCTGTACGTTTGGCTTGCTTTCTTCTAATTGAAAATTGTGAAATAAATTCACCATTTTAATGTGTGGGCAGAAGTTGAGATGAATCTTGAAATTTTACCTCAATAATATGCAGGGTTACTTATAAATGATTACAAAAATCTGATCACGGATAGTGCGTTTAAACCTTTTTTAACAAATCTGAATTTGTCCATATACTTTACAATTTGCTATACATTCATATTTGCAAGCATCTGTCATGTGTCCTTTCTAACTATTCATTGGTAACCGCCTTGAACATTTGCTCAAGTGGTAAAACTTGCAATTTGATTCGTTAGGGTACATGTGATTGAATGAATTGGATAATTGAGCAAATGACGTAAAAGATTAGTTTGAAGTCTACATGGACAATAGAGAGGAATTAATTTCTATGTAATTATAGATAAATGGTTGCTATTTGCTTCTCATGATTTTGAAAGTTTTAAATGTCAACATCTTAGGCCTCATAGCTTGAGTAGTTGGACATGAATACATGATCCTCGGCCTAATGTCCTTGTGGAAGGCATTGAGGTATTTTTTTGAGAGTTGGGTATGGTTCTTGATGCTTAAATATTTGCTAGTTGTTGTGTGGTTTGCTCTAGTAAGCAACAGTTGGCATTTCTCTGGGTGAAAAGGCTTATGATGAATTTATGAAACAAGAATGCACCCAAATAGACTAAAACCAAAAACTTACCTTGAAAAGCTTTTCGAATAACTTCTCCAGGCTTTAAGTTGAACCAATGCAATCACTTAATTGAAAAGCACTCTTACCAAAAACACATAACTTCTCTCTTTGTTTGTTGTTCTTCTTGGTCAATAAATGGCCTTTGTTCTATGTTTCGTTTTTCTGTGAAATCTGTGCTAACAGTTGAGTGAGTGAGAGAAAGAAAGGGAGTAGGTCTTATAAGTAGTGGGTGGTACCACTATTGAAAAACTTTGGTAACTATTCAACTTTCCTTTTCTTTTTAATTTTTATTTATGAGTTGGGTCAGATTGGCCCATCATGGGTGCCTGACCCACTCTCAAATCCAATAGCTTAGAATGCTATTCATGTTATGTTAAGTTCTCTCTGCCAATCTGCAACTCTAGATCAGGTGTGCCTAGGAAACTCTGGTACAGGAATAAGTTTTAGGCTTTGAAGAAGGGTACTTGAAGTCTCTATGAGGAAGAACTGTTTGACAATGCTAGACATGACATTTTTGCTGGCGTTTGCATTATGTTTTTTTAGTGAAGCTGGGAAATTTACTTGCTGTATGCATCATGGCACCCCTTTTACTCGTCTATTACATGTTGGGATTTCCTAAAATAACGAAAAGGCATGTTGTTTATAAAATTAGCATTGTCTTGGTTACACTTTCTGTCCTGTGTATTTGGCGTATATGACAATATGCAGGAATGAATTGATCCTTTAAATGTTCTCAAGCTATCTATTCTTCTGTTGGGCCTATGCGAATATCTCTACAAGTGATTTTTTTTTCTTGTTTGCACAGGAGTAAGAGCCTTGACATTAAACCGTCTGGAAAGATTGTTTCAGGTACAACAGAGGTATTACATCATTTGTGAACTATATAATTCTAATATGTGTATGTATTTGTGCACATTTTATTTCATTTTCCCTTTTAATTCTTAATTTTTTTTTCTTGGCATGTTATATTTTTTCCTTTTCACATGATAAATATGCTTATTTATTAATTTATTTATTTTTAAATTTTGAACAATGAGGAAAGATAACCCACACATACAGGCGCATGCTTAAGTGAGAGATTCACAAGTCCAATGATGAGATGATAAAATTGAAATACTGGTACTTGAGCATACACCACAAAGCCTACCATAAAGTCTAACCTTAAGGGAGTTGATCTCTTAGGAATACCAAAAGGGCAGAGTTTTGGTTTCTGGGTGTTGGTGAGTAGAGTCTAAGATAAATATCAAGATTGATGTAACTATGTTTTAATTTAACTTTCTGTCCTTTATTCTCATTTTTTTCAACTGCAAGTATGTCATATCTCCTTTAGTCATAATTGTTTATTGTGGCAGATACCATTCTCTATAATTCTGAGGAATTCTAAAGAAGATAATTTGGAAAGATTTTATGAAACATACCATGGAACAAATATTAGCATCCAGGTGAATATTTACTTATAGTAGAACTCTTTCTTTGTTTAATCTTGTTATCACTATTGGATTCTTTCTTATTTTCAACTGCAATAGTATTTGGCCACTGTAGATATAATAAGAGGATACCTGCATAAACCATTATCTGCTACAGTGGAATTCATAGTTGAAAGTGATAGAGGTATGGCTCAGTTTTAAATCTTCCTCTCAATTATATCCACATGAATTAGATTAAATGGTCTTTGCCTTTTCTGATATGTTTTCAGCCGATCTTCTTGATCAACCAATTGCTCCTGAGATGGTTATCTTTTACATTACTCCGGACACTCAAAGACATCCTATACTTCCTGAACTGAAATCAGGTTTCTGCAATTTCCCATTTTCTTGGTCTAGTATCCTTTTCTTTGAAATGCAGGGAATGTCTGATTTGTTATTCATATTTTTGTAAGGGATTGGATGATGCGGAACTTCAGCATCAATGCATTTGAATCCTTATCATAGTGTTCTCATGATCCCTTGCTGACTTGATGTTTGCCTGAATAGGTGGCTTTCGCATCACAGGAAGAATATCCACACAACGTTCGATGCTTGAACCTCTCAGTGGAGAACTAACAGTCGAAGCATCTGCAATTCCAATTTGTTCCATTGACATTCACTTACTTCATGTGGAGTCGATTCTTCTTGGGGAAAAAATCGTCACTGAAACCTCTTTGATACAGACTACACAGGTGCAATTCTTCACACCCAATGGAACTGTTTTAATTTTGTTGGGAGGAAAAACAAGAGATTTTTTTATTCT